ACAGGAAATGATCTCACACCACCAATCGCTTTTAATTTGATGTTTCCTACACAAATTGGACCTACTGGGGATTTTAAGGTAATTATTTTACGATTCTATAGGATTATAAGGACTGATCGCGTAGCTTTAGGCATATCTGCGTCCCGAAACAGCTCAAGGAATTTTTGTTAACTTTAAGAGATTGCTGGAGTTCAACCAGGTTGGTAATAACATATTTTTTCTATCTGTCTCGTTTTTTACTAAAGATGCACCATTTCTTGTCTTTCGAAGTGGATATTTGACTATTAATCTGTAGAATTTAGGGCAAACTACCATTTGCTGCCGCTCAAATCGGTCTAGGCTTCCGCAATGAAATCTCTCCAAGACAAGGGCTGATTCGAGTTAGAGAGTTCACCATGTGTGAAATTGAGCATTTTGTTGACCCGAGCGATAAGAGCTTTGCGAAGTTCAAAAAGGTGCGTTTGTAGTTGGCTTCTTCCACTTTTATCGAAGCATTCTTCACTATTTCATAATTTGGTTTTCAAGCTGTTGATCAAGTAACCTAAAAAAGAAGAGCTCGTTGTTGTTGGCACATGATCGCCATTGCCTTACGGTGTTCACATTTTTTTAAATCCAGAGAAAAGATAATTCACATCACATTATCTTAAATTTCATGCATCTATTTCAAAGTTTCATCCATTTTTCAGTTTTGTGCTTGTTTATTTAGATGTATCTGATTAAAACCTACCAATTAAAGCTTGCTTTGTTTCAGGTTCATGCATATCCTATGCTGCTATTCTCAGCTTGTAACCAAATGGATGGCCAACCGGCAGAAATGATGACCATCGGAGAAGCCGTTGGAAAGGTATTTATGTCCGCTTTTCCGTTATCTAGGTGTTCTGCCACCGTTCTAATTCGATTTTACTTCTGTTTTTTCTTGCATCTTACTATTTTTTGCTTAGGGCATCGTAGCCAATGAAACACTTGGTTACTACATGGCTCGAACCCACATGTACCTCGTGAAAGTGGGAGTTGATCCAAGAAGACTTCGGTTCCGACAACATCTAGGAAATGAAATGGCTCATTATGCACAGGTCTGACTTAAAACTTTGAGGTTTCTTCTCTTAAAAAAATCTTTCTTAAAGGACTGTTGGGATGCTGAGATTCTGACAAGCTATGGATGGATTGAGTGCGTTGGAAATGCTGATCGTTCCTGTTATGACCTCACACAGCATTCCAAAACTACCAATGTGAAGGTTAGATTTGATCTTAAGTTTGTCAAGTTATGCTTGATCATAGATAACTTCGTAATAGTTCAAACATCTTCTTCTCTCATTTTATCTTCGGAAAATATTTTTTGATAAAGTCACTGATTCGCCTGATTGTTCTGTTCTTCAGCTTACTGCCGAGAAGAAGCTACCCGAACCAAAATCAGTTAATGTTGTAGAGGCAGTGCCCAATATGGCTGTGTTAGGAAAAGAGTTCAAGAAGGATGCTAAAAGGGTAAGGCTGCTTCATTCTTCTCCAAATGTGCTTAGCGAACATTGTTTGTAGTACGTAAAATGACTTGCGCTTTCACGCTAACCACACTCTACCATGTACACATTTCTTAAATCAAAAAGACGTAAGTTATGGATGAGCGACATTATTTTTAAGGTACAAATTGCGCTTGCTCAACTCCCTGAAGATCAGGTCGTAGCTTTGGAGAAAGAGCTGCAAACTAGCGGGTGAGGCTCATTTCATATTATTTATTATTTATTAGCTACCTATCTGTAGTGTTGCTTTAAAATTTCATGCAATTTCTTTAGCTCATACAACTTGGTAGTGGACTCCGACGAGTTCAAGTTGACATCTGCTATGGTGAACGTGAAACGGGCTACGAAAATGGTAGGTTTAAGTCTTCCTGA